CGTACTGCTAGGAATACTCCTATTATGGCTTTTGTGAAACATCAATTTTCAATACTTTTTGTGAAAAATCTTCAAGGAAAGCAACTCAGTTTTATGTTGATTTCATGTTTACTTTGCTGAAGAATTCACAATTCTACAGTTACTGCACTGTGTTGTGTAGTCGCTGGCAATGTATGAAGGCTCCAGTTGCTCTATATTTTTAAGATGAGTATAATTTGGATGTGGATGTTGTGACACCTTATTGTGTTTTTTTTTAATTTATTTATTTTATGTATGTGAGTACACTGTAGCTGTCTTCAGACACACCAGAAGAGGGCACTGGGTCTCATTACAGATGGTTGTGAGCCACCATGTGGTTGCTGGGAATTGAACTCAGGACCTTTGGAAGAGCAGTCAGTGCTCTTAACCTCTGAGCCATCTCTCCAGCCCCCTTATTGTGGTTTTGATTCATATTTTCCTCCTCACTGATGATGTCATCAGCATCCTTTAGTCCCATTACTGGCCTCTTCATATATTCTTCAGACTCTGAAGTTTAGAGAAATGTCTGTTTAAGTTCTTTGCTCATTCTCACTACACTTCATTGATTTATTTATTTAGTTGTTTTTTGTTAATTTTATGTATATGAGTACACTGTAGATGTCTTCAGACGCACCAGAAGAGGCACCAGATCTCATTACAGATGGTTGTGAGCCACCATGTGGTTGCTGGGAATTGAACTCAGGACCTCTGGAAGAGCAGTCAGTGCTCTTAGCCGCTGAGCCACCTCTCCAGCCCCTATTTACTTGTTTTTAATAGTTGTTATTTCTGGTTTGGGGACAAGTTTTCTCAGACTGGCCGGGAGCTCATCCCAGGCTTCTTGCATCTTCTTATCAATGTGTAACACCACACCCAACTCCTAAGCTCATGCTTAAGCTGGAACTCTTTGTTGTTGCCTTATAAATTCTGGAAACTACACACATATCAGATATGTTATAAATATTTTCAATATGGGCCTGAAGAGATGGCTCAGTGGTTAAGAGCACCAACTGCTCTTCTAGAGGACCTGGGTTCAATTCCCAGGACCCACAAGGTCAGTCACTACCATCTATACCTTCAGATGAGCTGACTTCAGCTGGCCTCCCTGGGCACTTCACACACGTGGAGGACAGATATATTTGCTGTTAAAACAGAATAATAAAATAAAATTGAAAATATCCTTATCATATTTTACAAATTCTTTTAACTATCTTAAGAATGTACTTTACTTCACAGAGGTATTTCAGCGTATATATCTTAAATATGAGAATTTTTTAATAACCACAAAATCACCATGCTTAAAAAATTGTACTTCCTTAGTCTCTTCAAATACTTGCATTTATATTTATATAAAAGGTTGCAATTGTTTAAAAAAAATTAACAGTTGCTTTTCTTTTTTTTTTTTTTTTTTGGTTTAGGTCTCTTCTGTTTCTTTAGTTTTTGGTTGTTAGGTTTTTTTTTGACAGGGTTTCTCTGTGAAATCCTGAAATTCAACATATAGACCAGGTTGGCTTTAAACTCACAGAGACTTACCACTCTCTGCCTTCCAAGTGCTGGGATCAGAGGCAACACAAATAACAAAAGAAAAAAACAAAAACTTTAAATAACAGCTACATTTTAAAATCAGTGTTCAAATAAGGCCTGCCTGTTGCAATCTGTTGACGTGTATTTAATAAATAGGCTTCTCTTCCATTGTCTTTTTCCCCCTTGTAGTTTAGCTGTGAAGAAACTATTTCCCTAGATCTGCAGGTAGCATCCTTATTATGCAGCATGTCCCTCCCTCCTCCAGTTTCCTGTAAGGAGGTGGGCAGTTGTCCCCGGAAGTCGAAACACAGTTACATTTGTGGGATTTGGTGTTTGTTGTTTCAGCAACAGCTGTGCTAACAGTCATGGATGAGTGACACCCAGGTCTGTTAGCTTGTTGAGAAGCACAGAATGGTGACGTTCCATTCTCATTCTATTACATTCCTGGTTATCAGACAGAACACTTTACTGAATAGACATTTTACACATTGTATAATTTACATCCAGTGTTATCCTATAAGAAAGCTACAACAGGACTGGAGATGGCTCAGTGGGCAGGAGGGCTTGCTGCGCAGGCATACGGACCAGAGCTGAAGGGTAGGCGGTACAGTTAGGTGCTGTCTTCTGGGCATGAGATTGCCCTTGCAGTCATAAACACATAGCAGCCATGACTGCTCACAGGGAGTCTGGGGAGGAAAGGAAAAGGGAATGATGGAGGAACATGGGGAAAAGAGAGGGAAACGTTGGGAAGATGAAAGGACAGGTGCGTTGTGGGGGGGAGAGAAAAAGAGAGAGAGTAGCTGAAGTGAGTATCATCACAGTGCAGTGTATACCAAGATTATATGGCCAATGTCTAAATTAATTATTTTATAAAAAGTTTGGGTAACTCTGTGAGAAACAGAGCTGCCCAAACTTTTTATAAAATAATTCACCCATATTCAATTCTTTTATTCAATTAATAAAAGAAAATAAATAATAAAGGAAAAAGTAGCCAGGAATGGCCATGCACACCCATAACCCCAGTGCTGGGGAGGAAGAGAAGCGGAAACCTGGGGCTTGATATCCACCAGGCCAGCATAAACTAGGGATCCAAGTTCAGTGAGAAACCCTGTCTCAAGGGTCTCTGTCTCAAGCAAGAGCTGTAGAGGAAGGTATTTGGTGTCCTTCTCCGGCTGCCATGAATGTGTTTTGGTGTGTGCCCCAGCACATACACACATGCACCCAGACAGCAATGTTAGGACACTCTCCTTGCTTTTCATTTTGGTTTTGCTTTCACTTGACTTCATAATATCATTTAGTTGCTTCTTTTCTTCTAATTGTGGCAGTTGTGCTCTTCATGAGTGACATCCTTATTGCATTGGTGTTTCTAGGCAACGCCAATGCTTTGCTGTCACACATTAGACTAGTCATCCTATCTCTGACCAATGCAGGTATTTCAAGTTGACCCCTGAATCCTCGATGTGGCTCTCTGGTCTTTGTGAGCTGCCTGGCTATTACATCTGAAAGAATTTCAGCCCTCCCTAGTTGCAATGTTTATTCTACACTTCCAAATTTTCCTACAGGAAAACCTTGACACACCCACAGGCTCTCTGGAAAAGAGAACAAGAGTTTCCTATGAAAGCCAGCTTTGATCCAACTGTAACTCAGAGCAGGCACTGTAAACTCACACAGGAAATTCGTTTCATGTTTTATTTGTTGCTTTCTTTTGAGTCAAGGTCTCATGTAGCCCAAGCTGACCTCAAACACACTATGTAATAGAGGCTATTCTTGAACATTTGATTTTCCTGCCTTCACCTCCCAAATATGGGGATTACAGGTGGTACTGAAGACCAAACCCTGGGCTTTCACATGCTAGGCAAGCACACTACCAACCAGCACCTTCAGCCCCATTTTGTGAGATCTGAGCCCCTGTCAGGCATACAGAGAAAAAGGAAGCACAACTTATTTTCTGCCTAAAGATTCTGGACCCAGATAGGTTAGGTATATATTCTCTCTCTCTCTCTCTCTCTCTCTCTCTCTCTCTCTCTCTCTCTCTCTCTCTCTCTCTCTCTCTCTGTAAGACTGCAGCTCTGCAGCTGATGTCAGGAATCATCTGGATCACTCTCACACATTACTCATTGAGACAGGATCTATCAGTTGAATGCAGAGCTCACTGATATGGCTGGTCTCACTAGGCAGCTCACTCTGGAGAATCTCCTCTCCATCTTCAGAGGCTGGCTTTACAGTCAGGGAGCCAAACCCATCAGAACTTACCTGGGTTCTGAACTCGAGTCCTCACACCTGCACAGCTGGTGCTTTCTCCCCTGAGCCACCCCCACTCCCACCCCCACCTCTGCCCCCACCCCCAGAGGTACCTTTTAAGGACCTGGTGGCACAGACTTGACACACACATGTGAACTCTATTGTCTGCTCTGCTTTCCTCTTTTCTATCAAGTTGAGGACTGATTACTAATTATTCTAAATTATTTTAATTAATTACAAAAAAGCAATGCCTTATCTAACTACGGGGGCTTTTCGTTGAAAACTATGTAAAAGAAAGGGTGGAACAGAATTGCTTTTTCTGAGCCTGGGAAGGAATGGGAAAGTCCCATTCCAGCCTCTGCTGTGCCGCAGTGCTTACCCTCTGCCCGATTTATAAAGTTGCTGAGTACAGTAATGAGTTTATATTTATAGACTGCTTGGAGCTTTTTGGATGAAAGGTGCTAAATTAGAGTTTATTGTTTATTGAATTTATCTGATGTGTCCAACCTCCTGGGAACACTTACTGAAGTTAATTAAAACCAGATAGTCCACATTCTGACAGCTTACGGTGTCACATGCAAACCAATAACATAAACAGCTTGCACCAGTGGCATCCTAACTTGGGACTGCCTAGAGAACCATGCTTCTTTGGACAGAGAAAGGTTCTACTTTGAAGGAGGCACAAGAACCGCTGTAGATTCAATTCACAATAATAATTTCAACTTTATCTGAGTTGCTGACCCGCCCTTATTATACAAAAACAAAGAAACAAGCTTTAGAATATGGAAAATGTTCTTGATTTCTGACTATAAAATACTATTCAAAACACTTTAAAAAACAATAGTAATCTTGGACCACTGAGATGGCTTAGGTCATCATGTCTGATGACCTAAGTTTGATATCTAGGACTCATGTGGTAAAAAGAGAGAACCAACTCCCACAATTTGTCCTGTATGCCTTACACACACAAACACGCACACACACACACACACACCCCTAAAATATAATAAATGTTTTAAGAAGTAATCTTTCCTCTTTATAATTTCTCAAGGACTTACTAGAAAGATGATGGTTTAAATATTGTTTTATGACTGCATTTTCCTTGCAGGAATGGCATCCATAAATAACAGACTAGAGAGCAGTCTGCTTTCTAAACCCAACTTAGTAAGGAATCACAGCCAAGTGTGATTATAACAAATGCTGTTCCCTTCCTTTGCCAGTTGGTTATGGAGTTCTGTGGTGCTGGCTCTGTCACTGACCTGATCAAGAACACGAAAGGCAACACATTGAAAGAGGAGTGGATTGCATACATCTGCAGGGAAATCTTACGGGTAGGTGTTGAGTGGGCATGTCGGGCCTCCTAGTTCCTTCACATAATGTGAGAATGTCTTGATAGATATTCTATTCTGTTCAGTTCTTCTATTGAAATTTGTAAGTACAATAAAAATCTATTTAATGTCTTGTTCTAACAATCTCTGCTTGGGGTGAACATTTGTAATCCCAGCATTTGGAAGACTGATGCAAGAAGATTATATATTCAAAGCTATGTTCCCCCAAAAGTAGGTAGGTAAGTAGGTAAATATGTAGGTAGATAGGTAGGTAGATAGATAGATAGATGGATATATATAGATATATAGATAGATACATAGATAAATGAACACATAGACATGTGACAGACCAATGATAGAAAGGCAGATGATGGATAGATGATAGATAGATAGATGATAGATAGATAGATAGATAGATAGATAGATAGATAGATAGATAGATA